ACAGTCCAATAGTGTTAAGTATATTCACATTGTGGTGCCACTGATCTCTGATAATTTTTATTTTGCAAAACTGTCTCAATACCCATTAAACAACCACTTCCTTATTTCCATCTACCCCAATCCCCTGGAACTGCCATTCCACTTGTTTTTCTAGGAGATTGACTACATTCGATTACTCACATAAGTGGAATCATATAGTCTCTCTCTTTGTGACATGTATTTCACTTAATATGGTGTCCACAAGATGAATCCACATTGTGTTATATGAAAGATCCGTATCTTTTTTAGGGCTGAATGATAACCTACTATATGTATATGCTACATTTTCTTTAACCATTCATGTATCCATGGACATTTAAGTTACTTCAACCTATTATTGCCTTTGATAAATAATACTGTAATGTACATGGGTGTGCAAATATCTCTTATAGATGATCTTCTTAATTTTAGTTGCATAGATACCCAGCAGTGGGATGGCCAGATCATATAGCCATTCTATTCTTATTTTTTTCAGAAACCTCTGTACTGTTCATATTGGTTGCACCATTTTATATTTCCTCTAGGAGTACATCAGCCTTCCAATTTCTCCACATTCTTAACAAAACTTGGTATTTTTTGTTCATTAGATAGTGGGTCATTCCAGTGGGTGTGAGATTGTTTTAGGAAGTATGGACATTTTAACTATGTTAATTATTCCAATCCAAGTACAGAGAATAGCTTTCTCTTTCTTTGTGTCTTTTTCTATTTCTTTCAAGAGTGTTTTATAGTTTTCAGTGTACAGGTCTTTCACGTCTTCGGTTCAGTTTATTTCTAGGTACTTTATTATTTTTGTTGCAATTGTAAATGGGATTATATTCTTAATTTCTCTTTCTTTTAATTAGTTGTTAGTGTATAGAAATTCAACTGATTTTTGTACATTGATTTTGTATCCTGCAACATTACCATATTCATTTATTAATTCTAAAAAAATTTTGGTGGGTTCTTTAGGGTTTTCTATGTATAAACTCAAGTCATCTACCAATAGTGAGAGTTTCACTGCTTCCTTTCCAATTTGGATCCCTGTTATTTCATTTTCTTTCCTGATTGCTCTGGCTAGGACTTCAAATACTATGTTAAATCAGGGTGGTAAAAGTGGGCATCCTTGTCTGGTTGCTGTTCTTAGAAGGATAGCTTTCAGTTTTTCACCATTGAGAATGATATTAGCTGTGTGTTTGTCATATATGGCCTCAATTATGTGAAGGTACTTTCATTCTATACCCAATTTACTCAGAGTTTTTATCATAAATGGATGCTGTATCTTGTCGATTGTTTTCTCTGCATCTATTGAGATGATCATGTGATTTTTATTCTTCATTTTGTTAATCTGGTATATCACATTGATTGATTTGTGGCTGATGAACCATACCTGAATTCCTAGAATAAATCTTACTTGATCATGGTGTATGATCTTTTTAATGTATTGTATTTGATTTGCTAGTATTTTTTTGAGGATTTTTGCATCAATGTTCATCAGTGATATTGGCCTGTAGTTTTCTTTCTTTGTGTTGTTCTTGTCTGGTTTTGGTATCAGGGTAATGTTGGCTTTGTAGAATGAGTTAGGAAGCTTCCTCTCCTCTTCAATTTTTTGGAAGAGCTAGAGAATGATAGATATTAAGTGTTCTTTGAATGTTTGGTAGAATTCACCAGGGAAGTTGTCTGGTCCTGTACTTGTATTTTTTGTGAGGTTTTTGATTACTGTTTTGATCTCCTTACTGGTGATTGATCTGTTCAAATTCTGTATTTCTTCATGATAAAGTTTTGGATGGTTGTGTGATTCTAAGAATTTATCCATTTCTTCTAGATTATCCAATTTGTTGGTGTATAGCTTTTTGTAGTATTTTCTAATAATCTTTTGTATTTCTGAGATGTGTTGTAATTTTTCCTCTTTCATTTCTGATTTTATTTATTTGAGCCTTCTCTTTTTTTTATTGGTGATTCTAGCTAAAGGTTTATCAATTTTGTTTATCTTTTCAAAGAACCAGCTCTTAGTTTCATTGATTTTTTTTTCGTTAGTCTCTATTTCCTTTATTTCTACTCTGATTTTTATTATTTCTCTCCTTCTACTGATTTTGGGCTTTGTTTGTTCTTCTTTTTCCAGTTCCTTTAGGTGCACTATTAGAATTTTATTTGAGATTGTTCTTGTTTGTTGAGATAGGCCTGGATTGCTATAAACTTCCCTTTAGGAACCCCTTTTGCTGTACCCCATAATTTTTGGCATGTCATATTTTCATTTTCATTTGTCTCCAGGTATTTTTTGTTTTCTCCTTTGATTTCCTCATTGAGCCAATCGTTGTTCAGTAGCATTTTGTTTGATCTCCACATATTTGTGACTTTTCTGATTTTCTTCCTGTAGTTGATTTCTGGTTTCATACCATTATGTTCAGAAAAGATACTGGGTATTATTTCAAACTTCTTAACTTTATTGAGACTTTTTTGTGGCCTAAAATGATCTATCCTAGAGAATGTTCCATGTGCATTTGGAAATAATGTGTATTCTGCGGTTTTTGGGTGGAATGTTCTGTATATATCTACTAACTCCACCTGGTCTAATGTGTCATTTAAGGTCAATGTTTCCTTATTCATCTTCTGTTTGGATGATTTAGCCATTGGTGTAAGTGGGATGTTAAAGTCCCCTCCTATTATTGCATTGCTGTCTATTTCTCCTATGTTGTGTGCATAGATAATTACAAGTGTTATATCCTCTTGTTGGATTGTTCACTTGATCATTATGTAGTGCCCGTCTTGGTCTCTTGTTACAGTTTTTGTTTTAAATTCTATTTTGTCTGTTATAAATTATTGCTACCCAGCTTTCTTTTCATTGACATTTGCATGGAGTGTCTTTTTCTATCCCTTCACTTTCAGTTTGTGAGTGTCTTTAGGTCTGAAGTATTCCTCTTTTATGCATCATATAAATGGGTCTTGTTTTTTTATCCAATCAGCAACGCTATGCCTTTTGATTTGAGCATTTAGTCCATTGACATTTAAAGTAAACATTTTGTTAAGAATATGCTTAATGCCATTTTGGTACTTTTTTCTGGATGTTTTCGTATGTCTTCTCTGTTCCTTTCTTCTTCTCTTGCTCTCTTCGCTTGTGGTTTTATGGCTTTTTTTAGTATTATGTTTGAGTTCCTTTCTCTTTTTTGTATTCATTATAGATTTCTGGTTCATGATCACCGTGTGGTTCTTATATAATAACCTATGTGTATAGCAATCTATATTACTTTTATGGTCTCTTTAGGCTGACGTATTACTAAAAGCTTTACTCTTTCACTCCTCTCCTCCCACATTTTGTTTTTGGTATGATATCTAACCTCGTTTTTTGTTCATGTGTATTCATTACCCTCTTATCATTGAAATAGATAATTTTAGTACTTTTTTCTTTTGACCTTCACATTAGCACCATAGGTGGTTGATCTGCTACCTTTACTGTATATTTGCCTTTACAAGTTATTTTATTATTATTGCTTTTTTTAAAATAATTTTCTTATTCCTATTTGTGGTCTTCTCTTTTCCACTTAAATACATCCCTTTAGCATTTCTTTTAAGACTAGTTTCTTGGTGATAAACTCCTTTAGTTTATGCTTGTCTGGCAAGCTCTATCTCTCCTTCCATTCTGAAAGATAGCCTTGCTGGTAGAGTATTCTTTGCTGTAAGTTTTTCCTTTAAGCACTTTAAATATATTTTTCCACTCCCTTCTAGCCTCTAAGGTTTCTGCTGAGAAGTCAGCTGATACCCTTATGGGGTTTCCTTATATGTAACTTGTTGCATGTCTCTTGCATCTTTTAGGATTCTCTCTTTATATTTAATTCTGGACATTTTAATTATCATGTGTCTTGGTGTGGGCCTCTTTGGTTTTCTTTTGTTTGGTTCTCTCTGTGCTTCCTGTGCCTGGATGTCAGTTTCCTTCCTTTGGTTAGGAAATTTTTCAGCTATTATTTCTTTAAGTACATTCTCTGCCCCTTTGTCTCTCTCTTCACCTTTTGCGACACCTATGACGTGGATTTTAGTGCAATTGGTGTTGTTTCAGAGGTCACTTAGACTGTCCAAGTTCTTTTTAATTCTTTTTTCTTTGATCGGTTCATCTTGAGTGATTTCCTCTATTTTATCATCCAGTTTGCTGATCCATTCTTCTGTGTCATCTACTCTGCTATTGAGTCCCTCTAGTCAATTTTTCATTTCCAGTATTGTATTCTGCATTTCTGATTTGATCTTTTTTATCTCCTCCAAATTTTTGTTTAAGTTATCACTGAGTTTATCCATTCTTCTCCCAAAATCAGTGAGCATCCTTATGACTTTTAGTTTGTACTCTTTGTCAGGTAGATTATCTCTATTTAATTTAATTCTTTTTCTGGAGTTTTGTCCTGTTCCTTTACTTGGAGCATATTCCTTTTTCTCCTTATTTTGCCTCTTTCTGTGTGCTTATATCTATGTATTAGATATTTCAGCTATATCTCCCAATCTTGGAGAGATGGCCTTATGTAAGGGATTCCTTATGAGACCCAGGAGTGTGCTTCCCTCTCCTCACCAGTTCCAAATATTCCAAGGAAGTCCCCTGTGTGGGATACATGTGTCCTTCTGTTAGAGCAGGTTTGCTCTTGCTGCAGATGCCTGAGGAGGCTAGGCCATGCCCTTGGCTGGTTCTAATGATCAGCTGGGTGTAGCTGCTATGGACCCTTCAGTCAATTTTTTTGGACGTGGGGAGCCCCAGCACAATTGGCTGCAAGGTCTGATAGGGCAATCCTGTTGCAGTTTTTCTAAGTGACTAGGGTCTCAGCATGGCTGGTTGATAGGCTCACAGGATTACAACTGCTGTAGGCCTCTGGCCTGCAAGTCTGTTGTCAGCTCTCTTAGGATTGCAGCACCCAATTGCTTTAGGCTTTGGAAGGTGGGACAGATCCCCTATGTGGCTGTTTGAGAAGCAGACGTCTTCTGCAGCTGACAAGCCCCACCCACAAGGCCACACACCCCATCATCACAGTCCTACTCTGTGTGCATGCCTTGACCCAATTGCCCCACAGCAGAGTCCCCACACATTCCACCTACGCAGGACCACTCCTCACACATGCCATCTCCTGCAGAGGTAGGCCCACTCACCAGGCTGCTGAGGTTCCAGGCACACCACCTATGTGGGCCCACAAGTTGCTGTATTGTGGGGCCAGTACCTAGGGTGCCTTGGCTGAGCTGGTTTAAATCAGCATCAGAACTCCTGGACTAGGTCACTATAATGGCTGCCACCAAGCTCTCAGACCCTGCAGAGGGCTTACCTCTCACTGACATGCACCCAGAGACTGTCAAATGAGTCTCTTTTCACCAAAGGGGTGTGTACCTTTCTTCCTGGTGATTTTAGGTTGCTTTCTGAAATGGGTGAATTTGCACATGGGCCTTTTTTTTCCTCACGTCTGATAGCTTTTCTGGGGGTATTCCCCGTTGTAGTTAGTAGCCAGCAAGGATGGATATTATGACACTTGTCTCTGTTGTACTGAGTCCAAAAGCTGCTTATTGTGCCAATGCTCCCCACGCAGATGCCTTCTCCTTCAGGGAAGGCTTCGTACCTTAAGAATGTGCCTAGCCGGCCATGAAGTGCTGCAGCTCGAAAGTGGCCTTTTTGTCTCCAGAAAGGTATTGCTGCCTCTTCCACTTCAGTCAGCACTCTCCATTGTTTGTGGTGTTATTTTCCACTTATATGTTGCTAGAATTAACCAGTGAATTCATTTGGTCCAGGTCTTTTCTTTGTTGGGAGTTTTATTTTTTAAATTACTGTTTTTGTCTAGTTACTGCTTATAAGCTTTTTGTTATATTTTAAAATTATTTATACTAAAGTCTAAATAGGATGTACCTTTATAGATATTTATACATTTTTCCAGGTGTCCAATTTGTTGGTGTATACTTGTTCATTACAGCCTCTTATAATTACGTTTATTTCTATGATATCATTTATAAGGTCTGATTTCACTACTGATTTTAGTTCAGTCTGCCCTCTTTTGTTTTAATACAGCTAAAGTTTTGTAAATTTTGTATAAAACTGTAAAGTGTACTCACTGAATGTACTAAGTGGCATAATTTTTTTTGATATCTTTCAGCTTTGTCTTCTCATGACACCCATGGTTTGTTGTCAGATCTTATTGCACACGAGAGGATCCATATTGGAGAGAAGACTTTCAAGTGTGGTGAATGTGGCAAGGCTTTTAATCAGTTTGAAAATCTTACTAAACATCAGAGTATTCATACTGGGGAAGAAACTTACAAATGTAATAATTGTGGGAAAGTCTTTAGTCAATCATCAACTCTAAATAGACATAAGAAAATCCATACTGAAGAGAAACCATACAAATGTCAAGAATGTGGCAAAGCCTTTAACCAGTGCTCAAAACTTACTCAACATAAGAGATTTCATACCGGAGAGAAACCATACAAATGTCAAGAATGTGGCAAAGCCTTTAGTCACTGCTCAAATCTTATTAAACATAGGAGAATTCATACTGGAGAGAAACCTTACAAATGTAAAGAATGTGGCAAAGCCTTGAACAACTGCTCAAATCTTGTTAAACATCAGAGAATTCATACAGGAGAGAAACCTTACAAATGCATAGAATGTGGCAAAGCCTTTAACCAGTGCTCAAACCTTACTAATCATCAAAGAATTCATAATGGAGAGAAGCCTTACAAATGTAAAGAATGTAACAAAGAATTTAAATGGAGTTACAGCCTTACTCAACATAAGAGAACTCATACTGGAGAGAAACCATACAAATGTGAAGAATGTGGCAAAGCCTTTAGCCAGGGCTCAACACTTACTCAACATCAGAGAATTCATACTGGAGAGAAACCTTACAAATGTAAAGAATGTGGCAAAGCCTTTAACAACTACTCAAGCCTTACTCGACATCAGAGATTTCATATTGGAGAGAAACCATATAAATGTAAATAATGTGTAAAAGCCTCTCACAGGAACTATGGCCTTACTAAACATAAGGGAGTGCATACTGCAGAGAAACCCTATAATGTAACAAATGTGGAAATACCTTTGTCCAAATTATACATTTTATAAAACAACAGAATGTTCATATTTGAAAAGAATACTTTTAAGGTGTAAGAAAATGTGGGAAAGTATTTTTCAACAATCACATCTAAATAAATATCAGAATTCATAGTTAAAAGCAATCAGTCAATAACACTTTTCAGATATTACTCCAAATCAGAATATTTATTCTAGAGAATAATCCAAATTTTAAAAAATTAGGTAATTTATTTGTTAGTATTTTTCAGAGTCAAGGAGATGGATGTTTGGACAGGTATAGTCATTTTTAGTGTATCTTTTTATATTGACAGTATTGGAGTTTTTTGAAAAGCAGATATTAAAGCAATTCAACTCTCAACTTACTTCATGCTATTTCTTTATTCCTAGTTTGTATTTGAAATCATGTGGTTGATTTTTGCTCCTTCAATGATATAAAAGACCCTCCTGTGTTAGCTGGGATTAATCATGTTTACTTTTCCACGGAAGATGAAGGACAATGTATGCAGCAAATCTAAATGGAGACACTGTTTGTGGTTGACTTATCTCATTGATATAAGTCTCCATTAGGTACATGTTCAGGGCATTATTCTTTGTATTAAAGTAAGACAGAAAAACATTATGAACTTTAAATATTTTCACCAATTGCACTTTGAGGATAAAAAAATGGCAGATCATTAAAATTCTGGTGTGTCTTCATAACAGCAATGTATAGTCGTCATGAATATTGACATGGTTGAAAGAAATATTCACAGGTATATGAGAAAAATATAGCTGACCTTTCCCTAAAAAGGCATAAAATTAATCTACATCAATGTTTACTAAGTAATTAGCCTCCATTTTTGAATCAAAGAAAGCACAACTCTGAGATAATTCTATGAGATGAACAAATGTGTTTCTTGAATGCTTGTAACCTCTATTTTGACTAAGAATCATACAGTGGATTTTAAAAATGCTTCATTTACACTATGTGTGAACACAATATATTTTAACTAATAAAACTGAATTGTTTTTAAAATATTGAAACTGATGTGTAATGAATGAAGTGTTATCCCACCACCACCATTAACCTCTCCCACCTTATTTAAGGTTGTAGAGAAGAGATGCTAACAATAAAGCCTTTTTTTTTTTTTTAGGTGAATTAATTTTAATATATATTTTTTAACCCAACATATCCAAATACTATCATTTCAACATGTAATCGACGTTTTAAAATTCTTTGTGTGTGGTATATTTTACATTCTTTGTCTCATACTAAGTCGTTGAAATTCAGTGTGTAATTTGCACTTACAGCACATCTCAATCAAGATGCTACATTATCATCAGGAATACTTGATCTGTATTTAAATTTCATAAAAATTACAGTTGAAAAAGATTTACATACCCAAGTAGTTCCTAATATACTTTTTCCAACTAGGTGTTATACTGAAAAGTATAGTTAAGTACAAAGTTCCACGATTAATTGGGAGTCTGTCCCAGTTTGCAAACAGACCCTCCCTAGGGCAGGGTCTGCTTACCAGGCCCTGCTGAGGCTTCCCCGTGTTCTGGTTCCCAGTTAGACCATGTTTGACACAGCGCATGCTCCCCACCTTCTCTCTGTCTGTAGATGAACTTGCTTCCTACTTAACTGAAACATCTGAATTGGGTCTAAAGAGAATGTTCTTCATTCCCTGGTCACTGATCAGCCAGCTCCCGTACGCACAGTCCAGTGGATGCTGTGATGAGTCCCAGGAATGACTTACACCCCAGGTCCTGGGACTGTCGCCAGCAGACAGCCCTCAGCTGTCAGTCCTCTCTGGGAATTTCCTCAGCTGAAGAGAATCGTCTTGACCACAGTCATGTCTCCTTTCTGGGTGGCCCACAACCGTGGCTGATCAGTGGGGTCTTTAAAGGCCCAGTCTCTTCACCCAAACTTGGGACAGTGTGGAAGTCCAGTTTCTCCATCTGCTCGCCCGTGCCTCCATTCCTTCCCTTCCCTTCCCGGCTGTCGATCCCGGGAACCCCCCTGATACACGTCCTGCATGCTAATCTTCATCTCAGAGTCTGCTCCCTGGGGAGCGCTGTGACTGCTCGGACCAGGAGCGTGGCTCCGAAAGAGGATGCTAAGATGGGATTCTAGAGTTGGCCCACCGACTGCCGGCTAGCAATGAGGACCCTTCGCTGGTAGAGAGGCACAAGGTAACAATGTGATTTTTTTTTTAATTTTTTATTTATTGCAGTAACATTGGTTTATAACATTTTATAAATTTC